CGTTACGTACGTAGTACGTACGTACGTACGTAGTACGTACGTACGTACGTACGTACGTAGTAGTACGTAGTAGTAGTAGTAGAGAGAAGAGAGAAGAGAGAGAGAGAGAGAGAGAGAGAGATAGATAGAGAGAGAGAGAGAGAGAGAGTACAAGAATAGCTGAAAAATATAATCATATGCCCAGGACTCAAATGGAGGTTAGGGACAGAACTGAGCAGGCTCTAAGGTCCTGATCAAGAAGAAAAATGATATAGCTTGATTTAGCTTCAATATAAAGAGAGGACGGTAATAAAATCATTAAATGAAAAATATTTATTTTAAGATATACAGATTAATCACTGTAAAATAGATAGACAAAGGAAACCTCGTCTGCTGAAACAGTAAGGTAGATTAAATTGTGTGTCAACCTGTATGCATGGCAGCAAGCTTTGTTATAAAAGGCAGCCTGGGCTTCCAAAGGATTTGGTTCTAAAGCAAGTGCATTATCAAATTGAGCAAGAGCATCTTTCACCTGGAAGAGTCACACACCAAAAAAAAAATCGAAGGTCAGACTTTGTGACAACTAACAAGAAGGCAATCCAACAAAACTCAGTGAATGATAGAAATATGAGGTCCATAAGGTTGAAGTCAAAAGAAAATAGCATCTATATTGAAAGGAAATACATTGTTTCCATCTAGACCCATAATTTCCCACCAGATTCCACAATCCTAAGTAAATGAATATAGTCATATAAGAGGCATGTATCTTAGCCCTCAGATAAACATGAGCTTAGATTTGCCATTATCACAACCAGACACTCCTAGGATCACAGTAATAATGTGGCCCTGGGTGTCTCGGGTGTATACCGAATTAGAGTGGTTCAAAAGGTGAGGAAAAGTTTCATGGTTCTGGTGTCTCCAAAAAAATGCTAATGATGAATATTCTTGGAATCCATAATAATATATTTACATTTAAGCATTTGCATGATGGCTCGCTTTCATCATCAAAATACATGCTAGTTAGAAAGAGTGGACTAAGATGCATACCCAAAGAAAATAGAAGACAAAGGAAAATAACTTAGGAATATCACATTAGCAATGTGTCAACTGCTGTTCTAATTTACTGTCCTTCGAAATCAAAGTACCATTTTCAGTTTTCCAGCATGAAAAGAGATCCGTTCCATTTTTGGGTCCCTATAAATAATATAGTCAGTTAGAAGAAACCATCTTCATTATCGAATTCTCTATTGAATACACTTAGATGGATCCCAGCTTTTAAACATTTGATCATATTTTGCTTGATGTGGTGATCACAGCAGCCATATATCATGTTCAGGTTCTGCAATATTCAAGTTCAGATTGATGCAAATTGCAAAATCATAAAAACACCCAATGAATTCACTTGAACAACAACCAAGTCTAATAAATTCTCCTCAAATTCCACACCCAACAATCTATGTCCCCTACCCCCCACCCCAAAAAAGAAATTATCACGCTCTAGTTCAAGTATTCACTGAAAACCATTGTTGCTCGATGCAAAACCAACTAGTTACTCAGGAATTCAAAACACTAACACTTTAATTTGAATGAAGTTACAGTCAACCTCATGCCCTTTATTTTCCGTACCATAAATTCAATAAACGCATGCTAGGATATTGTAGAAACAATATGGGGAATGAAATCCCCTACAATCATTCACAATTAACAGGATAATACTAAAAGAACTCATCGTTTTATATATGGAGACATGTATACATAAATTGACCACAACCCTTGAGCATACATACATACATACATGCATGCATGAACTGATAGAATACCCAGACATACACATATATACATACATAAACACATGAATACGCATCAGAATTACCCGGCCTTTGGAGAAAAGGGAGAGACCCAAAGTCACACAGGATTCAGCAGTGGCCTCAGTAGTGGGCTCTTTTGATGGAGAAGATGAAGAAGCTAAAACCAGAAAACCATCTCTAAAAGTGGTTTTATGGGTTGGTTTATAAACCCATTTTAGACCTGAGATTGGACTTGGAAAGTGCAGAAAACCATTTTTTATGGTGGTTCTGAGAACCCATTTTGGCCCTGTAATCGAGCTTTGAAATTGAAGGAGAGGATGAGAGAAATACAGAGGCTGAAAGATAAGAGACGTTATGGCCATTGACAGTGATGAGGAAGAGTTTCCAGGTCTACAAACGAGCAACATCTGTATCTGTATGAGCTCATTAGTGGGGTAGAAATGGACGGTTCAGATTGCCAGAAGAGGGGTGAATTACAAGATGAACCGTTGGCTATGGTGGAGCTGAGGAATGGCGGGATTTTGGAGAGGGCAGAATTTGGGATTTATGGTCGATCATTGTGAAATTTACGTCAATGTCTAGGAAAATTGTTTCATGCGGGCTGGACCTTATTTCTACATATGTTGACCTTATTTCTACATATGTTGTCCAGAAAGCGTAAAGCATCTACCTTAAAAATGGATATAAGTCCAAATATTTTTTTATTAGAATTATTATTTTAATCTTGACTGCATAGAAATGGGGTCTTTCATATTAAATGGCAGAATTTAGAAAAAAAAATTGTTTCATGCAGGCCGGACCGCAATTCTACGGTCCAAAAGTATAAAGCAACCCTCTTAAATATGGATGCAAATAAGTGGTCCATCTAAAAATAATTGAAACTAACACTCGAAATGTTTTCTTAATAGAATTATTATTTCTAGTTTTTAAATTTTATTTATTTATTTATATTCATGATCTCCATGTTAGAGATTACATATCTTTAAAAATCAAGTACAAAATCCATTTCAAAAATAGATTTATTAAGGGGCCCGCATGCTAACCGTGTCCATTTAGAAATAGCGTGTTCGTGCTTTTTTTATATTTTTTTTCTTTTTTTCCAAATACTCTTAATTGAGAAATTTAAGTTTTGAAAAAAAAAAGATAAGAACTTAATGTTTTGAATTAGGTCACTTTTTGGGAAAAGTATATAGGGAGACCACTTACAAAGGAAAATAGTTTAATAGAGTTGCAGCCTTGTCAAAATAAGTAAAGCCTCACCTCATCACTCATCAAAAATTGAAATTCAAGTGTTGAAAAACCTTTAAATGGATCATCTCAACTTGAACGTTATGGTTGTGGAAAAAAAAAAGATTTCAAGTTCTAAAAAAGGGTATATTTGCAACAAATAATCTAGACCATCCATTTCACCTTAAAAATAAGTGTTAACAGACCCGCAAGTTTAGGAACATTTTTTTAGTTTCAAATTTTATTGTCGGCATTGGAAATTGATTTTAGAGTCATTATAAAGATTTTCGATGCCCAAAGTGCTTTTCGAATGAGGATTTGAGATGAGATTTTATTTTGTTTTCATAAAGCCTATGCCCTATAAAAACTTAATCCCTTACCTTTTATAAAAAGTAGTCTTGAATCGAGAAAGGGGTTGCGGTTGTGGTGGTAGCACCCCCATACCTCAGTTGTACGTTGTGGCTTCCATTCCCACTGATATCTTCAAAATCCAATAACCATTTAAAAACTGAGTCTGTAATACTCACAGAAATATAATGAGCCCGTAATACTCACAAAAATATAAAAAAAATATATTTATTGGTTTTCGAAGCTATCAGTGGGATTGGAAGGCACGACGTGCGATTGAGGTATGAGGCGTGCTACCACCACAACCCCATACCCTTTTTCATGTGGTTGCATTTATTTTATTGACCTTGGTCAAGGAATTTTTACCACAACCCCATACCCTTTTTCATGTGGTTGCATTTATTTTATTAACCAAAGTCAAGGAATTTTTCTCGAATTTTGTAACGCAAGGAATTTTTCTCAAATTTTGCAACACACTTAAGCTATCAAATTTCACATCGGATGATTGTAATTGAGGTGGGGTGTAATACCACCACGACCCCAGCCCCTTCTCCAGGTGGTTGCATTTATTTCATTGATCAAACTCAAAGTTTAAATGAAATTTTTTCGAACTTTATAACACACTAGAACTATCAAATTTAGCATCGGATGGTTGCAATTGAGGTATGGGGCATACTACTATTACAAACCCAACCCTTTTTCTAGGTGGTTGCATTTATTCTATTGACCAAACTCAAAGTTTAAAAGAAATTTTCTTGAACTTTGTAACATATTGAAGCGATTAAATTTCACATCAAATGGTTATAAGTAAATATGACCTCCTTATACAAGTCGAAACCTAGTGGGAAGGACGATAGAGAGAGACAACTTTGAAGATATGTGGTGCTCATAACGAAGAGAGGGATAGTTGGGGAAGGTCTTCTACCCATGATAGGAATAGAATTCAAAATGTCATGTTCTGACGCCTGGCTACCTTGACCATGAAGCCTTGAGCCATCTTAATATAAAAAATGGACGGTTGATAGAGAATAACTATAGTTGTGAATAAGAGATAAATGGTTAACGAAGAGGACAAGAGTGAGGATAGTAGAGAGGGAGATAAGTCCCAATAATAAACATGGTAGAAAGAAATATAGTTAGGGGCTCTAACTTTGTTATTTCAATAAAAACTAAGATAAAATAGTACAAGGACACCAGGAAGGAGGTTGCAACATTATCTTTCTTAGCTTCCAAATTGAAAGGATGTCTATGTGGTGTAAATGGACCAATGAGTCTATTGGGACCTTAAGTTCTACGGAAAGGGAATATATCTTTCCCTCTAAAACTTTTATTTTTTTAAATAGTGTTTTAAAATTATGTGATGCAGTTTGGAATTACTTGAGCTGGATCGGAATTGGTGGGAGAACGGTTCAAGTCTTAAGACTCACGTGATTTTGTTAAAGTATCGGGTAGTTTTTTTGAAGATTGGTACAAGTCTGAGGTGTTAGGAAAATCGATAAAGCACGGATGAGACCAAAACCCGAGATCAAAGAGGGGGGTGCCGTGAGGATCGTGATCCCATAGCCCGGATTTTAGTTAATAACTACCTAATAGAGAGAAGGGTCACTATCTAGAGGATCTGTAATTTGTCGTATATTTTCTATGTGCCATTCTCTCTGGCTTCCCATATTTATAAAGAGAAGATGGGCCAACATTCATCTTTCTCCAACGAGTCTATGAGAAAAACTACTTCACTGATCTCAAAAAGACTCATTCAACTCATCTATATGAACGTTGAAAAAATGTTTTATAAAATAAATAATTATTTACGTATTATATTAAAATACTTTTATGAATGGATAAATATAAGTGAAAAATGGGATTCCTCCCATAAAAGTAGTGAAGCCCACATTGTAAGCAAGCCCATTTGAGGCCTCATGGCCACATGTCTCAACATCTGCTACTTGGTTATGACGGCCGTGCATAATAATAAGTCACAGGCACACTTCCATTTTTTAGTATGACCTTTAAGACAATATCTTGTCATGAGGTTTTTCTCACGCTTTTGCGGATATGCTTCCCATAATAAATGTTAATCATAAGGATTTCAAGCTAATGCGAATTTGTCACTTATGAGAATTGACTGACTTAAATATTTTTAAGTCTCATTAAACCAGTGTGCTTAGACAATAGTTCAACACTTAGACTTTTTATTAATGGGTCAGCGATTATATCTGATGACGACAAGTAATTAACATGCACTTCATTTTTCTCAACTACATCCCGAATGTAGTGATATTAGACATTCATATCTCTTTTATTGGAGTTATTTGCTCCACTTTGAATTAATTTAATTGCAACTTGATTATCACAAAATATTTGGATTGGTCCGTCGATTATTTGCAGCTTCAAATCATCTATGAAGTGCTTTATCCAAATGGTGAAAGTACAAATAATGCTACATGCAATGTACTCTGCTTCCTTTGTGTACCTAGTTACACACTCTTGTTTCTTGCTAGACTAAGAAACAATAGCCCCTTCAAAGAGAAAACATGCCCTGAGGTGGACTGACGTCGTCCTTATCCCTAGCAAAATCTGTATCTTTATTACTTCAAGATTATCTACTTAAAAACATAAATTTAGATGTTTTGTTCCTCTAATGTACATTAAAATTCTTTTTACCGTGTTCCAACGAGTTATGCTTTGATTACTTTGATATCTACTAACAAGTTCTACGGCATAGCTCAAATTTGGTATTGTACATCTCATTGCATATACCAAGCTACCAATAGCTTGTGCATAGGGAACGTTAGTGTCACACCCCAAGTTTACTAACATTCTTAATGTGCGACATACTATTCTTATATAGAACAAATTTAAAATTTCTACTAGTATATTCGCACTAAAGCATATTTTTTCATTTCTTTTAATTTGTACAAAGTCTCCCCACAACTGATATTAACATGAAGGGCTATATAAATATATATCTTTTGATAG